TCTGAGTAACGCTGGCCACGTCGTCGCCATATTCTTGTTTTGCCGTCTGCAGTTGATATGCAGTACCGACTGTCATCTGTGAACAGAACAGTTCTCCATTGCCTGTATCGCCAGTTTTGGTGTTGGAGGGGAAACCTGTAGACGTTCACGCTGATGACGAGGGGTGAACATAGGTCCACGGTAAGGTCTAAGGCAAGGGAGGTTTCCGCTGTTAAGACGTCGGCGCACTGTATCAGTACTGATTGGTCTTGCGTGTGTTCCCACTGTCTGGCGTGCAGTTTCGGATGCCTGCATGGAGGGATTCTGCGGTCTTGTCGTCTTGTGGTCACCCTTGGTCTGCCAGTACGGGGGCGATCATTTGTTGTGTTGGTGGCCCGGAAACGTTGCCGCAGCCTGTAGATGGTCCGAACGTTGACCTGGAAGTGATTGGCAACGGCTTGTGCAGTGTGGCCAGCTTCAAGTCTTCCTAGCGCCTGGTTCCTCTGAGCTGTCGTGAGTCGCGTCATCCTGCTCACGTTGTAATGTGAATGTTTCAACCAGGCATGAGTTGCATGCAAAACATGGAGAACACCGTCCCATCTCCGAGATCAGGTTGCGTTTTTGAGACCATTTCCAGGATTCCATTCTGAGTTTGGGAAGGAATATCTTTGCTCAGATAAAGTTGGAGATGTTGTCAAAAATATACAATCAAAACATTATTTGAGTTTACAGTTATCCGTTTCTGCGAAGGAAAATTCCAAACTGACGTTTCTTTTGCTGCCTAGTATATATGTGTAGGTTAGCAGAGTTTTCATGCATCCGGCAACTTTACACAACAAGGTTGTTATAACATGCACTGCAGAATCAATACGTCCAGAGTAGATAAAGTCAATGCATTTATCAAACACGAATGCCGAGTCGAATGATAACAAAAAGTCTCTAAAAATAGTCTCTATGTTCTCTTTCCACACAAAGCAAGGACGAGGGCCACGCTTGTCGTGGCCGTGCTCGCGGTAGTCACGTGACTGAAATCGACATGTGATTGGCAAGTGTTCTGAATCTGAACTAGACACAACATCAAAATGGGTACATCATAAAAACAAACATGTTGCTGATATTACATAGTCAACCACGCTTGTGGGCCGTTTGCATTGACAAGTCTGAAGTCACCTTTCTCTGTATCGGTGCCTATATACTGAGTCAAAAAAGAAACTTCACATTCTTTCTTCAGGGCACTATAAAAGAACAAGAGATGGTAAGATGGTTAAATTGTTATTATTTCATTGCTGAGATCTGTGTGATGTACTCGATACACTGACAGTGCCATAATCAGTTCCATTAGGCTACACCGCCGTTCCAAAACATGGGTATACAGAATGTCAAGTCACAAGAATAAAAATGCGAAATTTCTCAGTTCAATATCGTATGGCCGCCCCGCGCATTCACCACTGCCAAACACCGTCTCCCTCATCGACTGCCTGATGCTTGTGAACACGTGGTTGGGGATTCTGCGCCATTGCTCTTGCAAGGCAGCGCCAAGTTCCTGCAAATTCTGAGGTTGGTTCCTAAGACCACGAAGCCTTCTCCCAAGTGCATCCCAAACGTGCTCTATTGATTAAGGTCAGGGGACCTCGATGGCCAGTCCATGACGTTGATTCCAGCGTTTTGAAGGAAATTTCGTGTCAACATCGCGGTATGCGGCCGAGCATTATCATGCTGGAACTGTAGACCTGGGCCATGAGCCGCCATGAAAGGAACGAGTTCAGGGGTGAGCACCTGGTCGCGGTAAGCAGCAGCTGTGAGGTTTCCACGGATGACCAGAAGTCGGGAACGGTTGTTCCCACAGAAAGCACCCCACACCATGCAACTTCCGCCCCCGAATCTGTCGACTTCCTGTACACAACATTGGGCATACCGTTCACGACGTCGTCTCCAGACTCTATGCCTGCCGTCCGCGAATCTGAGGGTAAACCTGATTCATCGCTAAAGACGACTCGATTCCAGTCTCTCTGGGTCCATCGGAGGTGACGTTGGGCCCACAGCAGACGTTGACGTTGATGAAACGGCGTCAATATTGGCCCACGATATGGACGTCGAGAATGGAGATTGGCAGCCCGCAACCGATTTCGAATGGTCTGTGAGGACAGTCGACCTCTAAACATCTCAGCCCTGGTTCGTGTAGCCGGCAGAAATCTGTCACGTAGGTGACGTAGGACGATTTGATTTGGTCTTCTGCTCGTGACGTCACACGTGGACGACCCGACCTTTGGGCGATCAGAAGTGGTGCCAGTTTGTTGTAGACGACCTCGCAAGTCATACACAGTACGACGGCTGCATCCCATTGCTCTTTGCGACGTCAATAACTGATCTTCCCGCTTGCAACATGCCAACGGCACGTTCACGCTGCACATTTGACAATCGTGGCATTTCAAGCACCGTTAGAACTGTGGTTTAAAAAGTGTTTTTCAATTCTTGAGGCCAATGCAAACACGTGCATATGAAGAAAACTTCGATGCGAAGATCACGTGATCGACTGCACGTGCAAAACCTGATTTGGCACTAACGTCATTTGCACGACGAATGGATGGGTTTGAGTGGGTTTTGCTAACGTTTTTCTAGAGTCGAAAGATAGGGATCCCATTTCGATACATAGATGTATCATCAGAGAAAAATTATTCATTATTTTTCAAATTACATTTTGTGAAGTTTCTTTTTGACTCAGTATATAAAATACTTATGTGGTATAAACTGTTTTCTAAAATTACTGTAAGCGTTACATACACGTAGAATATGACATTCATTTTCGATATTACAGCTATTACAGAGTTTACAAACCCTTTGATTTCTTGGAATATTATGATATCTTCCCGTTTCGATGTTTAAAGAATGAGAACTACAACGAAAACGAGCCAAAGCTGTTCTCAACTTTTCAAGATTTAGTGATAATAAATATGATTCAACAGTGAAAACAGTCTTAAATTGAGAATACAAACACATCTTAGGGCTACTCACCAGAGCAGAATGCCAATTCTGTTCGTAAATGGTTTTTAATCTAGATTCCAATTCTGCCAAAAAGGAGGTAAGGAAATCTACACTTTGGGCTTCCCACATATAGCCAAAACCATAGGTGTAGACTGAGCGAAGATTTAATTTTGGATGCCCAATTAGTCTTACCACGCGAGGTCTAGAGAGACATCACATTATACCCTTTCCTAGGAAACCGAAAATATGGCATATTCAAAAGTTTACACCAATATAACATACAACGTTTGAAGACTGAAATATAGAGGGGATATCTTCCACACTCACCGTGAACGCAGTGGTCAGCGGTAGAAGATTTGACTCCTAACAATAACTTGCATGCCAATAAATGAACTGATTCAGTTTCCTCAATATTATCTAATCCCCATACTTCAGCCCCGTATAAAAGGATAGGAACAACTTTCGAGTCAAATACGCTCAGTTAAGGTTGAAATCAATTTTCCACAACATTGAGAGGCTAGAGAATAATCAACCGTTCTTCAATTTTCAATATCGGTGAGTGAACAAAAAGTGAACAAGTTCGTTGTACACGCGCAATATGTGACATCAAAGTTAATGCAAATAGCTTTGCTACATGTATATATAGGATTATTTTTATAACTTTTCAAATAATCTGTATTTTATCCAATTTTATGTTATGCACAGTTCTTTTTTCGTTAGTATAGAATTTAAATGGAAATCATTATATTAAACATCCGCCATGCGCCATGTGTGATTGGTCTGCGCCATAAGGTGTTGTTTTCAGTGCGCCATTTCATATTTGAATGCGCGTATGGCTCAAGGGCGCGGTCTAAAATGATCTCTGGAATTGATAAAGTACTGTCGGAAATAGAAAAAAAAACTGTATTTTCTCATTTGTCTCTACAATTTATGTAGTTTATATGTGAAAGTGTGAAATATCTGTTAATCAAAGTTCGGCCTAACTACAGTCTCAGTGGTAGAGAGATAGGAAACGGAGAAAAGGGACTTTACTGAGGGGAAATTAGTGCAGAAATGAGCAATGCGGTTTTTTTCTAAGTCCAAAAAGACTTATTTGGAACATACCATGGCTTTATGCAAATTAGTGTGCGACGATATTGTATTACAAAGGACACTTTTTAAATGCCCAATTTGAAATTAGACGTAGATCCATTATAAACGATAGCTGACGTAAAAAATAATAACTTTTATGCCGAAACTATTAAGGATGTAGCTACAATGCAGTCTCACTGTCGCTATAAAAAGAAACAGATAGGAGGGGTCGTCTCAAAGCAAAACATGGGGTCGGGCTTGGGGATAGAGATATCAGCTAAGATAAGATAATCCTTTAGGGCAATTATACTGGGGAGGTACACGGCACGTCATAACAATTTACAAATAATATCCAGTCCTGTCGATCTTCGGGTCATGCCACCTATATACTACGATGCGTTTCCATGGTTTTCGGGTATCATACTCTTTACATATCTCAACATAAACTATATGAAACTATATGAAAGAAAGACACGTTAGATGTTAATCAATAGATGAGACATAGTCAACACACATGAAAAAGCACAAAATATCTTTGAGATGACCCCTTGTGCCTGTAGGCAGCACGTGCATTCCATGCCAGGTGAGTCGATTTGTCCGTCGTCATACCTGGCTGAGCGACCTAATTGCCATCTATAGTCTGATCTATTGTTTTCAGCAGGTATTCGTTTTTTTCTAAGTTTTGCCCGATTTTACGAGTAAACATGCTTTTCTGGATATCATTACGCATCCCACTGAACGCCCAGTTAGGCCGAAGTGGGTTATTTCAACATATGCTATTTGCAATTGTGTAAATGTTAGGGATACAGAGTAACAGCCTATAAACAGTTTTTTTCTATTTCCGACAGTACTATAGTATGTAATTTATTGGGACCTTGAGCATCAGTGAGGCACTTATACTACATCACTGGTAATCATTACAGTTTTAAAACAATAACCATAGTAAGTTCAAAAAGTTAAATGTGTACCTGTTCAAATATTTTATCATGGTCACAAGCTGTCAGCTTCCTCCTAAAAGTCATCATCTTCTTCACTGTCAGTACAAACCTCTTCAGCGACATCGGTTTCCGACGTATTTTGACAGGAGTACAATAGACTCCGTACACTTTACTACATGTGCCCTACGCTCAATACAGGTGCACTCAGAAGGAACACGTGCTTGTTGGCGTGAAAACGAGAGGAGTTCCAGTACTACTTCAGGAGCAGTGAGTCTTTTGATCCAAAGAAACAATCAGGCCACCTTCACCCAGAACGTCTGAACAAGAACAAAGACACTGCTTGCAGAGGAGCGAATTTGTAAGGGCAAGCATAGAGCTGCTGTGGCTCCAGCTCTCCCCATTTGTGATCTGCTTTGGACCACTGAGAGCACAAGTGAAGGTTTCAAGCGCAGAACAGAGATCTGCTGACCTATTCCACTTTTCTCACAAACTTAACTTGTAGAAAATCCATTCAATTTGCAATTTGTTGCGATCAGTAATAGCGCAGAATATTGCAGCCTGTACAATCATGGAGGCCTACCAAGGCTGAACACAGATTCTTTCTGAGTGATATATTTGTACCTGATACGCTGTTGAGTACCACATGTCGGAAAACCTTTCCATCTTCCCTCTACTGGCAAGGATCTACCGTGAGACTATCACTGTATCTATCACTGGAAGCATGCGGATGATGGAGCAGGCGACAAGCGTATACCTCTTCATGGTAGCACTCCAGAGAATTGACAACTTCAACACGGTTTTCAGCGATAATATGGCATTCCTCTTCATATGCAACAAACAACGCCTTCCCATCCAGCTGTTTCCTGTATCTTTATATTTTCCACTCGTTGTATAGGAAGAACATCAACTGAGTCTTGTTTCTTGATCCATATGAAACATTTTTTTCTCTGTTACATTTTGTGATTTCTCATGATATTATTGAGCTGTGTTGCTTCAGATGAACTGATGTTATCTGTATTCTATATTAATTCATCAAAATATACATACAGACATGACATTATTCTCATAACATCTCTACGCGTGAAGATTCGGATTAGAATTGATCTTCAGTAAAACCATGCTTGTCGTAAGAGGGACTAACGGGATCGGGTGGTCAGGCTCTCGCTGACTTGCTTGACCCATGTATTCGGTTCCCATTACGCAGATCGATACTCATGTTGTTGATCACTCGATTGCCTGGTCCAGACTCGATTATTTACAGACCGCCGCCATATAGCTGGAATATTGCTGAGTGCGGCGTAAAACTAAACTCACTCACTCAGAGACCTACATCACTCAGAGCGCTTTCCAGTGAAGGAAAGTAGGGTGTAGATTGTGTGAAATATCCTAAGTCGCACTACAAGGCGTCTAAACTTCACTTCATGGCATATATAGCTTGATCGAACAGTTATTGATTTCAGTTTCAGTGTATCTTTGAGGATCTCATGTGCATTTGATAGAATGTTGCTGAGCATTAGTTATTGGGAGATGTCCAACCCACTTCTTGAACTATACCGACATTGTTAGTATTTCTATATCGAATGATGTGCAGCTTGTAACTGTGAGGTTGGGTGGGTCAAGTTGACGTGCATTCCAAATGAACGGATCCACATAAATCCTATTGACAACTAGGTGTTCAGGTTGTTTTCCAGCATTGCTTCTTGAGGAAGGTTAAATGATTCCACATCCAGACCTTTGCTGTTTGACTGCTCAGGAGTTGTACTGAGACGAGGATAAACACCTTGTGGAAGCCCATCTCCATGCTGAGCAAGCTTCCTAACCTTCTACTGAGTTTGGAATATGACATGCCACGGTCAAGACAGTTAATTGACTTTATCAGTTTCAGCTGCCTGTGAGGACGTGACTGCCATTGGAAGATTCATCACAAATAACACAGTAGGAAAATCTTGAATAAATTAATTAATGTGCCTTTGTACTCTTTTTTTGAAAATTAAAACTATTGCTTGGATTATTTTTAAACTTTCTCCTTCTCGTTGTCATAGGATAGGTGTAGTGCAAGCTTCTATTTTGATATCTTAATTTATCTTGAATTATCGCAAATTCAATCTCTTGTATTTCCCACGTCGAATTTGTTCAACCACTAACGATTGTTTTTAAATTTGGGTAATGGCTTCTTTGTTTATATCAAAGGTGCAATGCAAAGTTTATTACAGATATTATGTTTTTGTCAAGAAAAATCGCATAGATACTACGAGCAATTAAAACAACACCGCTGACCTCAATGTCTGTCATGCCAACATGTCTCACTAGAAGGATAAGTTACGTGAAATATAATAATCTTTTGTCCCTCAAGGTGGTACTGCTGACCCCTTCTGGCCTACAGACTAATAATTGTATCCTGACCAGTTGCGTTGATCGATGCTCATGATGTTAATCACTGGGCCGTCTGGTCCAGGCATGATTATTTACAGATTGCCGTCATATGGCTGGGACATTGCCGAGTGTGTCATGAACAAACAAACAAACAAACAAACAAACAAACAAACATCTTTACACGCATCTTCTTACCATCGAAAGAGAGCCGACGCTTGCCACCATTTCGTCAACGTGATATGCGAAGTTACTGAAAAGTATGATTGAACAAACATTACAAAAATAACCATAGTCATCATATTTAGGAGATAAACATACTGTGTTGGAAAATCAGAGGTATATAACGAAATTATAATAGCTCTAAATTTGATTTAATACCGAACGCGTAGCGTGAGGTTTTAAATAAAAAAAATTACCATCGAATTTTGTTACGAAATTATAATAGCTCTAAATTTGATTTAATACCGAACGCGTAGCGTGAGGTTTTAAATAATTTTTCTTAGAGCTATTATAATTTCTAGTACTATTTGTTATATACCTCTGATTTTCCAACACAGTACGTTTATCTCCATTCTACCATGACCGCGTTATTAAGATTTTCAAAAATACATACTGTGTTGGAAACTCAGAGGTATATAACGTGATTATATACCTCTTAATGACTTTGATTAACCAATCACAATCCAGTATTTACTGAAGTCATGGTATAATCTCTTTTACCATGCAAAACTGGCGGTTACATAAGAAATCATTTAGGTGAATTGGATAATTCCATGATGAGATATATTCGTTACGATAGTGTTACTGAAATACACAATGCCATTTTAGAAAGTGGTCAAATGTAAGTACTAGAATCTCTACTTTACTGAGAAAGTGTAATCCCAAATATAACATATGTTACATTTGACCACTTTCTAAAATGGCATTGTGTATTTCATAGCTTTCGGCCGTGGGAGGCGTATCAATTTACACTTATCAGAGGGGACACAAAGTCCGCAGTCTAGACTACCAGTTGTCCGACTTCCATTATTGTGGAAGCCGCGGTGGCTGAGGGGTCTAGGCGTCCTGACTTTGTGTGCTGGCGATTAGGTGCCTGACTCTGAGGGTGTGGGTTCGAATCCCGGATGGGACTCAACCAAAACAAAGTACTAGAATCTGTACTTTACTGAGAAAGTGTAATCCCAAATATAACATATACTAGATAGTGTTACAGTTAGACAAGATCTACTGAATATACATGCATCGCAAACTGTTTTATCTTTTGAAACTTGATTGCGCCACACTGGAACGAACGAACGAACGAACGAACGAACGAGCGAGCGAGCGAGTGAGTGTACGCTGCACTCAGCAATATTCCACATACATGTATATGCCAGCGGTCGGTAAAATAATCGGACAAGACAATCCAGTGATCAACATCTACGCAATTGGGATACGATGACATGTGTCAACCAAGTCAGCGAGCCTGACCACCCGATCCTGTTAGTCGCCTCTTATGACAATCATGGGTTACTGAAGATCAATTCTAACCCGGATCGTTAGTTTATGAGGAAATACACACTGTATATAAGACCGAGATCAATTCTAACCTGGATCTTCACGGGTCTCACGTGGTGCGAATAGGTGAAAAACGGACAGTAAAGATATTCAGTAAAATATGCAATGTCCTCTGACAGCATAATAACATAGCTGTCCTTTTCTGTGTGCTCGATGAGCCACACCCTTACAGCACGCTGTCTCAGAAAAGCCTCTCATGCATTGAGAAAAGGAATATAATGTAATCCACATATACATGTTCTGCCTTTAGCAGGTCAGGGTAACTTGTCGTTATACACGTAGCCTATCATGTTACTGAGAAACTATTTACTTATGTGTCGGTAAGGCAAATATAGAATCGTCAGTAAGCACAAACCTACTCAAAAATTGAAATAATGGTCCGAAGTTTAATATAACATCTTAAAAATACTTTGGCTATGTGTATTGATTGTAAAAGGAGAATCTGTAAACACGCGATGCATTATTTGCCCGCGTTCGCGTAACCATGGCGCTGACCCAATATTAAATTACATTTGTGACGTCATTCCATTGTCTGTTCGCTCCGTTACTTTTCAGGAATGGAGCGATGTGTACCAGTTTCAAAATAAAACCTTCATTATGTCATTTTGACATTTAATTTTGATAACAGAAATATTCCCAATACTTTGAATGCAATCTAAGTAGGGTAATATCCTCGTAACTCGGACATTACCCTCTACAGAGAAGACATCCGCTCAATCGCAATGGCCTCAGCTCACAGCTGGAGTGATATATTTCATAACAAGAAATAATTGTTACAATAAAAACTATGTCTTGGCAGGACTATGATGACTTACGTTTTAATCTTTTGCAATATGTTTGAATTTTTTAATAGTTCATAAAAAGGCTATAAAAAGTTAGGGCAGCTATGCTTTTTAATATGAATATCTGCGAAAAATAATCCCAAACTACTTTTATACCTTACAACGACCAGGAAAAACGTCTCACCACCGATCGTAAGATATTATAAGGTTGTACATTATCTTCTACTAAAGTCTCTCATAATTCCACAAGGAATGATCCATGCATGTTAATGCAAAGTTATTATTTTCATGTAATATTTCTGTACATTGGGGAGGCTGTTTAAACATAATAAACATTTTAAAATGAGTATAATAATAATAAACAATCTGCCCAATAAGTTATCGATAAATCGGTAAGAGTCACTAATTGTGAGTGCATTTATAACAGGTACGGTTATTAAGTTTGAGATAATATGCTACTGCCATTTTACCTTTCCCTTACAGCTTTTGAAGCTTGTCATTTGTGATATCATTCAACAAATCTTGACTGTTGCAATCTGGAGCGGTATTAACATGAATTCTTATT